GGGCCGCCGGGGCCGCCGGGGCCGCCGGGGCCGCCGCCGCCTCGTCGCCCGTGCTGCTGCTTCTGGGGGAGGAAGACGAGGACGAGGAAGGCGGGAGCAGGCGGCGGAGGGGGCTCGGGCGGGTGGAGGAGAAGCCCCGAGGGGGCGCGGAGGAGGAGGATGACGACGAGGAAGACGAGGACGAGGAGGTGGTCGTCGAGGTGGTGGACGGCGACGACGACGAGGAGGACAGCGAGGAGCGCTTCATGCCCCTCGGCCCCGGCCGTGCGGTCCCCAAGGGCCCGGCCCGGGGCGCGTTGAAGGTGCGTGCTGGGCACGGCGGCGCGCGCGGGACCCGCCAGCCCGGGGAGAGAGACGGGCCCGGGCCCCCGGGCGAGGCGCGCGGGCTGAGGTCGGGGACTGGCGACCGGTGGAGGCCGGGCCGGGAGGGGTGTGTCAGGCGGCGCCGGCGGCAGAGCGAGGGAACTGATGAGCTCACACCTCGGGCCCCCAGCACCTTTCCGAGGCGGTCGCTCCCCAGTGCCTCAAAGGCCGGGTCGGGTTGCTTGTCTGGTGTGGGTGCAGGGAAAGGACACTTCTCCCTGGCGAGGCAGGGAACTTGGAGATGGGACGAGGTAGGCGCGGGTTTGCGCCCGGTGGGGACGCGCGAGGTAGGAGGGGGTGAGATTTTATTCTTCGCGGAGGAAGCAGGAGTGTCCTCCTTATTTTGAGGGCTAGTCAAGCTTATTGAAACTAGCAAGCAGCTTCTCTTGTCAATCTTTCAATCCCTTCTTCATCCAGGAACAATTGTTGATGAGTTTCCATCACAGATGTTTGTAAAGGAACCGGTAAGCCCAAAGCGAAAACCAAGCCCTTGGTTTCTAAATGCATTTTGCTGGCAGCTTTTGGCACTGCCCGCCCCCCACTCCCCTTTAAACTCGACATTGTTTAGCATTCTGGGTTTTTTCCCCTCCTCAGAATTGCAGATGGGGAGGGGAGAGGAAATCGGGAAAAGTGGGGGTAATTTGGCATTTAAAATGGATGTGAGTTTCTGCTGAGAATTCTAGTGAAGTCTCTTGTGCACTGAAGCACTGAGATCTTTCCGTTTGTGTATCTTCAGGAGATAAGGGGTTTATTATTACACAACTGACTGGCTGGGCTTTCAGGCATGCGATTGGACAAAACAAACCACGTTGAGGTTCATGCACAGTGTATGTTGCTAAGAAGTTTTGAGGGCAGCAAGTGGTAGGCGATGAAGTTAGTGCTTTTTCTCGAGAGTGGTTCTTAAAATCAACTGAGTAACTATTTACTGGAGTTTTCAGAGGATAGTGGTGTATCAGGAAGAAAAAAAATACATAAACAAGTGAGCTTAATAGAGACTATTTATCTTCTGGGGCTTGGGGGAAAAAAAAAAGCACTCCTCAAAGCATGAAATTGCAATTCCAAAGAAATGCTACACATCAGCATTTAGAATATCCCCAGAATAGACATAGGCACAAATTTCTTTCCTAGACCACCCTGGAAGTACCAGCTCTAGGAGTGAGAAATTTTTAGCAAGTAGTCATTGGGGATGATAGTTTTTGACAGTTGCTTGTTGGAATCCAGACCGTGAGCACACTCATTTACCATGGTCTGCTAAAAAGCCTGCAAGTCACACGGCATCAGTGACATTGAGTAACGAGAGTAGTGATTCCTTAGTGTTTTAGTCCAGCAATACTGAAAATATGTCTTAATGGCTTGTAGTTTGTAACAGAAAAATTATAATTTATGCTTGTTCAAAGTAAACCCAATGTAGGAAAAAAATCACACCTATAGAAACAGAATAACTAGGGTGTGGTCATTCACATTATCAAAAAAGACTGTTATCTCCAAACAGATTTCTGTTAACTTTTTTAAAAAATGGGCTTCATTTTATAACATTTTTGTGGGCCTATAGCTTTTTAGTAATGTATATATTGAATAGTTTGAGGTATAATTCTTTTCATTTTTTACTGTTTAAATGGCATCTTGACACTGTATCTGAAGAGCTTTTCTAATGGAATATAGTGGATCATTTTATTCTAATGCATATAAAATGTCAACAACTTCTGTATATACTTATGCATTTATTTATTCAAATATTTATTGAGCATCTCCTAGGTGCCAGGTGCTATTCTAGAACATAGCAGTGAGCACCTTCCAGATGCTGAAATCTAGTAAGAGGAGTTATAGCAACAATCAAATAAACAAACAAACAAATAAGTGTGGTGCTTGAGATTGTGATGCATGCTATGAGGGAAATAATGGTATCAGAGTCTAGGAGGAAGAAGAGAAAGCTACTACTATGAGGTAGACCTCCCTGAGGAGGGGACATTTGATCTGAGACCTGAGACATGTAGCTTGGGAAGATCTGTCCAGTGGAGGGAATTGCAATTGCAAAAGTTCTGAGGTAGGAAGGAGAAAAAGATGAGTATGACTAGAACTTGGGAGGTATGAGATATGTCAGGGAGGCAGATAGGAGCGAGCAACCTAGGGCTTGGTGGGCTTTTTATTTTTTTATTTTTTAAAGATTTTATTTATTTGGCAGAAAGAGACACAGTGAGGGAAGGAACATAAGCAGTGAGAGAGGGAGAAGCAGGCTTCCCACACAGGGAGCCAGATGCGGGGCTCAATCCCAGGACCCTGGGATCACGACCTAAGCTGAAGGCAGATGCTTAACGACTGAGCCACCCAGGTGCCCCTTGGTGGGCTTTTTAAAGTAGAGTATGAAGTCTTTGGAAAGTCTTAGGCAGTAAAGGCACATAAGGTAGTTTGTGTTTTTTAAAAAAATTCCTGTTGTATGGATTGTAGAGGACAGCAGGGAAAAGCAGGGAGACCAGTTAGGTGGCAGTTGCTACAGTCCAGGTGGGAGGTGAGGGCAGTTTGTACTGGGTTGACAGGAGTGGAGTTAGAGAGTAGACAAATTCAGCATCTATTGTGAAGATTGACCTGCAAGGACTTGCTGATGGATTAGGGGGGAGGGTGAAGGAGTGAGAAGCCCCAATGTAAAGGTTTATTAAATGTGCCATTTGCTGAGATTGGGAAAACTGGGGACACAACAGATTTTTGTGAAAGAAAAATCAAGTGTTCCTTTTGGACATGTTAAATCCGAGATGACAATTAGACATGGAAATGGGAATGTAATTGGGCAGCTGGCTGTAGGTTGTGGAGCTGAGGGGAGAGGTCAGGGCTAGAGAGAAAAACTGGGGAGTCAGCAGCATGTTGATATCATTTAAAGCTGGGGACTAGAAAGGGAGTGCAGTAGGTCAAGAGAGGACAGCCTTGGGCCAGACTTGGGCACAGCACTGTTCAAGTTTGGGTGTAGGAGGAGAAGCCAGCAAAGATGGACGAGAAGCTGTAGCCAGAGAAGTCGAAGGAAACTAGAGAATGTAAAGTCCTGTAAGCCAAGGGAGGAAATCATTCTAAAAGTGGAGAGTGGTGAGCTGTGTTGAATACTACTGGGATATTGAGTAAGATAAGCATAGGGACATATCCACTTAGATGAAATAATGTGGAACTTATTGGTATTCTTGACAAAAGAATGTGAAGGCAGTGATGTGAATGCAGTGGGCAGAGCAGTGAATGGGAGGTGAGGACATAGTGAGACATATGAAAAACTATTTTAACAAGTTTTGTTGGAAAAGAGAGCAGAGAGAAGGGGGAATACCTAGAGGGCATATAGTCTAGATTTTTTTTTTTTTAAAGATAGGATACGGTAGACTTTAGAATAGGTACTACAGCATTATGGGAATTTTTTGCTGTGTTTGGCGGGGGGGGATGCCTTCATTTTCTATTGCTGTATAACAAATTACCACAAACCTTTTGGCTTACAACAGTTCTCACAGTATCTATGGGTTAGGAGTCGAGGTTCCACTTAATTGGACTGCTGCTGAGTCTCACATGGCTGCAATCAAGGTATTAAGTGGGCTGTATTTTCATCAGAAGGCCTAACTGGGGAAGAACGCACTTACAAGTCTGTTGAGGCTGTGAGCAGAATTCTTTCCCTTGCATCTAGGTCTGAGGGTCCCAGCTTCTTGCTGGCTTTTGCCTGGAGGCTGCCCTCAGCTCCTAGATACACTTTCCCCCACCTCTACTTCCCACAGTGCTCTGTTACTTGAGCTTCCTCAACATGGCCTCTTACTTCATTAAGCCAGCAAGGGGAATCTTAGCGCCTGTCTTAGCGAGGTAAAGTCTCATATAATTCCCTGTAATGATAAGAACAATACTCCATCATTTTTGCCATATTCTATTGGTTAGGAGTGGGTCATGAGTTCCACTTAATGGAAGGAGATATACAGGGTATATATATATGCCTTGGAGGCGGGTGAGGAACATTCTTGGGAAAGTCACAGTAGAGGAGACCTGTAACCCAAGTACAGGGGTTGGCCTTTGACAGAAGCAATGAAATTTCTTCCATTGAATTAAAGAGAAGGTGGAGAAAACAGGTCCAGATGTGGGTAGTTGTATATTGGTTGATGGTCAGATGAAGTAGTATTTGTCTTATGGCTTCTATTTTCCCCATGCAGCAGGAGGGGAGGTCATCAGCTGAGAGTGGAGGAGAGTTAAAGTAAGAGTTGAAGGCATGGCACAGTGCTGTGGGAGAGTAGGAGAACAAACATACTGAGAAAGCAAATAGAGTTTCTAGATAGTATCAAGGGCCCATCTGATGTCTATGGTTTTCCATTTATGGTGCAAGCAGCCTGTCTAGGTATGTGATTTTTTCCAAATTCATTCCACTGACTCATGTGTGGAGCAATAATAATAAATAATGTTTATTCAGTGCATACTATGGTCAGTACAAGTCTAAGTGTATAGTGTCATTTCAACTTCATTACATATCCAGGAGTCAGGCATTATTATTATCATCCTCATTTTACAGAAGTGATAAGCAACTTAAAGATACACAGGTATTAGGTGGCAGAGCAGGTGTTTGAGCCCTGGGAATTTGAACTCCAGAACTATCCCCCGATGCCTTACACTTTACTGTCTCTTTGTAGACAAAGCAGAGAGCAGGATTCAGCAGGGATAGGGTTATGCCAGGTGGGTGAGCAAAGGAAAGAAAGAGAAGAACATATTGTTGAGGAAGGTGGCACAGCTGTGACTATAATGATGGGCTATGGGATTTAAGAAAAGTAAGGAAAGGAAAGGGGTGAGGGATGGTGAAAAGGCCATAGGTCAGTGGCTTGGAGAAAACAAAGAGTTAACCAATAAAATCAATAAAAGAATGGGAATAAAATGCAGAGCAGTTTGGATTCCAAAATATCATTAATATGAATACATATTTGCCAAATATTTATGAGCCAAG